AAACAGGGTTAAAGTGACTTGCTCAGGGTCACACAGCTGGGAAGTGTCTGAGGCCAGACTGGAACCCACAAAGATGAGTCTTCTGACTCCAGGTCTAGCACTCTAACCACTGCGCCACATAACTGCCCCCAAAAGAGGAAAGGAGGAGCTAATAAATGAAAACTAGTTTTTTGGAGTATATTTGTAGTTATACATAGAGCAGGTAAGTTCATTAACCACCTTGATAACTTCCAGGGTGGTAAGCCTCCACTTGAGACTTTTTGTTTCTCCTCAGGAGGGTTTGGACAAGGTCCTCTGCACCCCTTCTAAGTGTAGGTCTGTTGCTTCCCAATATCATAGTTTAGACTCCCCTGATACTTCTCTAGTTTTGAGGGCAGATTATATTCAGACCAATGTCGCAATGAATCTTTGCCTTCCAGGTGAAATGTGCTCCAAAGTATGTTATTCTAGGCTCAACAGGTAAGCACAGTTTTGACACTACTCTTTAAAAGCAGGTTATGCAACACAACACACAATTCTCAAAGGGATCACGGAGAAAACGCATATATTCCCCTTGGCAACACATTATTTTCTCCTAAACTGAGTGGCTCCGTTTTCCCATAGAGCTACTGTAGGGAATTCCATGTCAGAGAAGAAAAGCTCCCTCTAATTTTTGCGATTCCCACATTATCACAATACTACCAAGGCTGAAGGAAAATTGAGGTCAGCCTTCCAAATGCCAGGCTGGCTGGGAAGGCAGGGGGGAAAGGATTCCAGGGCTGGAAGGCGTGCATGGGAAGGCCCTCCAGTGCCCCAGTGTTACTATCCCATTCCATCTCCCCTCAATACAGCAGAGCAGTCTTGGGGGGTAGCCAAAATAAGCTCAGAAGCAACATCCATAACACATGGCAGTAATTTTTCGAGATCACGCGTTAGAAAATTTAATATAAACACCTCCCTGTTCAGTGAATGCCAGCTTTGATGTGTCAGTTTAACGGCCTTTATTGGAAAGTCCACCCAAAGAATCCTTCCCCCAAGGCCTCCTGCAGGGGATCCTGAGAGGCAGAAGGGTGACCTTTAGAGAATTAACATCACTTTAGGCATAGGGATTCCAGAAATTGGTAAGCAACAAGCCACAGGCCCCATGTGGAACATGTCCACTTCTTGCCATTTCCAAACCATGCCGCTTTGGTCTTTCTCCTCAGCCCCTCCCCTGGGGGCCCTGAAAGACAACTCGGCCTTATCTGGCCCAGAGCCAGCCTCCACCTCACTCCTCTGAGGTTTCCAAACCACTCCCCTCCTCCTCCTCTCATGGCTGCCATTTTACCGCTTTCCTTTGCTGGGCTGTTTAGCCCCAGCAGAACATAAGCTTCTCAAGGGCAGGAACTGTGTTTGTATCCCTAACCCCTAGCACACTGCCAGACACATAGCAAATGCTTCATAAACGCTTTTTCATTCATTCTTTCCTTCTACAGTGGCATGGCACCATAGAGGGCAGAAGCTTCTAAGCTTCATAAAGTCCATCGCACCTACAGAGTAACCTCTCCATGCACAATGGTGGTCCAATGACCACCAGGCTGGGGAAGTGATGAAGAACCTTAACCACATCCATACTGATTTTTTTTTTCCCATGAATAATACCAAAAGACATTTGCACACAAGAAGCAATTTAAGAGACAGGATGCTGGTATGCAGTAGGGGCCTCCAGTGATGTTCTGCTAAGTCCGAAGAACTGCATTTTTAAGCTACAATAAAACCCCTCAGCGCAGCTTCTAATCCTGCTGAAAGGCTGCTCAATCTGGCAGTGACAGGGACCTCCGGGATCCTCTGCTCCTGCCCCTCACGTCTGAGAAGGGGAAATTGAGGTTGAAGGACGGCAGACTGGAAGCGGCCAAGGCAGGGGTCAAGCTCCTGGGCCAAGGTGCCACGGTCATCATTCTTCCCTTATGTCATAGATAAACTTCCCCATCTAACATTTTGCCTAACACAGAGTCCTGAGGACAAATTGAGGAAGTAAGGTGGGGACAGCACTGTACTCAAGGCAAGCCAGCAAGCATTAAGTGTGCCTACTGTGTGCCAGGCACCATGCTACACACACCAGTCCCTCCTTCCAGAAGCTCTCAGTCCAACGGGGAAAAGGACTCATCAACAACTATACGCAGATAAGATACAGTCAAAATAAGTTGGAGATAATAACAGCAGGAAGGCCTAAGCATCAAGGCGGATCAGGGAAGGCTTCTTGTAGAAGGTGGGATTTTCAGCAGGGCCCTGAAAGCAGCCAGGGAAGCCAGGCAGTAGGGATGAGGAGACAGAGCCTTGCAGGCAGGAGGGACAGCCAGAGAACTTGCCGAGAGCCCAGAGACGAAGTGTCTGGGGTAAGGGACAGCAAGGAGGCCCTGGACACTGAGTCACAGAGTACGTACGAGGCTGTAAGAAGACTGGAAAGGTGAGAAAGGCTCAGATCACGAAGGGCTTTTTGTATCTGATTTTGTATTTGATACACAAGGTAACTGGGAGCCCCTGGCGTTTACTGAACAGAGTAGGGACAGGGTCAGACTGAACTCTAGGAAGATCAATTTCACATCTGAGTGGAGGATAGAGTGAAGCATTATAACACTGACCTGCACAAAGATGCACAGATGCAAATATCACAACAACAACAGCAAAGCTATTATTTGTGGAATTCCTTCATTGTATTTCAAGTTGAGTTCTCGATGCAAATTCGCAAACTTTTTACAAGACAGTTCAGATGATTAAAAAACTGAATTGCAGGAAACCAAGTAGTCCAATTCTACATTTTGTAAACTCTCCAAGGATATACCCAAGATCAAGAACCCGAAATGCATCAACCAACAGGCACCACTATTCATCAACTGGGTGCCAGGTACTCTGCTAGGCACTGGAGATAGAGACAAACATTTTCTTCAAGAACTTGTACTCTGTTGAAAGAAAAATGAATGCTGCATCTCTGTCAATGTAATAACAGAGATGAAAAAATTATCTAGCTCCCGACACAAAGGACTGCAATAGAAATACACAACATTATGTCCTCCAAAGGCTCAAAATTCCTTGGTAGGAGGCCTAAAGGCAAAACAAGAGAAGCAAACATAAGGAGGCTGCACATGGTGCCAATGAGGACCATCCTCTGGAAACAGCATGATGGTTGTGGGCCAGGCAGATGGAAGGGGCTGCTCACTGACTCACTCATTCACTCATTCATTCAGTCTGTTAGTCATTCACTCAGATAAGAGACGGACAACCTGAGGCCACAATGGCACCCACGGAATATTAAAAGGCCTCTTGGAAGGCTGCCTGTGTGCAGGGTGAATTTTCTGTGGCAAATTCACAGGAGGATGGAGGATGAAAAGTGACACCGAAGGGGAAGGCTCCCATGGACCAAATGTCCACCTGAGGGAAATCACAGATTCTCTGAAACATGGATATGTGACATAAATAAGAAAATTAGGGCTAACTTGGGATGTAGGCAAAGAGCTCTAAGAAACGAAAGGAGAGGACAATCATGGGGTGGGGGAGATGGGAGAAAGGCACAAGTCAGATTTCAAACAAGGTTAAGATGGGGCATGGGGGCAGCACCACCTGGTCACCAGACTGCAGTGGACAGAGCTGACCTCTGCACCTGGAACACCAGAGCTCAAGGGCTGCCTCTGCCAAGTCCTGAGAAAAATCACTTCACCTCTCACTCAGTGTCACCACTGTGGACATAAGCTGCAGTACAGGTCAGCACACACAGACCCTACACCAATGAAAACATAGGCTCTTACCCAAAAAAAATAGACGGGAAAGAAGGGGTCTATTCCCAAAACAGTGAATGAGATGGGAGATGAGGAGAACACCACATTGGCTAGACAAAATTACATGCAAAATTCAATGCAGCTTGTGTGGCTGGGAGAATGGAGAGGTTTCTTTGCATGCCTCTGTAGAAGACGGTGGCATTCATGATTTCCTTTCAGATGGCTCAGTATTTGAACCACTCAACCGTTATGGACAAGCAGTCTGAGAGGGAGCAGCCAGCTCTCCCTTGACTGGGGACCCCCCTCCCCATTCTAGGGCAAAGTGGGGAAGCAGCTGTTGATGCTGAACAGACTCATCAGGGTCCCTGGGCCCAGAAAGGGGAGCACCAAGTCTCCCTAGACCAACCGAGAGAAACTTCTTAGAAACTTTGTGTCTTCAAAAAGTTGTCTATGAGGGAGGTTTTAAGAAAGTGTGGTGACGGGTTCTGGGTGCTCCCAGTGGGGGAAGGTACAATAGAGAACCCAAGGCAAGTCATTCCCCACCCCACTCCACCCCCCCAATATCCTGCTTTAAAGCATTGACAAAAGAAACCAAGGGAGGACATCAGAAAGGGGGGGAGCAAAAAAGAGATGGGAAAAGAAAGGGCCCCAAAGATTTACTTTAAGGGGTCTGGGAATTGAGGGAGGGAGGCTTCAATGCCACGAACAAGCCCATGGCACCAGGAGCTGAGGTGTCACGGGGCTCTCAGACAGCGGGGTGGGGGGAGGTGGGGGGGTGGGCATGAAGGTGGCAGTCCTGAAATCCTGTCAAGGGATTGTCACAGAAGTAATTCCATAGTCACTGGGGGAGGGGACCCTCATTTCTGGGGGTGGGAATGAGGGGTCTCCTGATAGCAGAGAGGACTGGGAGTTCTTTCTCTCCTAAAAACTTTAAGGGAAGGGCCAGGTGAGAGGAGAGGGAGACGCGCTGTGAGCTTCTTTTTCAAGAAAGAAAGAACCTTCCTCTGAAGAGATACAGTTTAGGGACAAGAAGGGACAGGGGAGAGGATAAAGAAGCTCCTCCCTCCCTGGGCCTCAGTTTCCTCCTCTATAAAATGGGGGACTAGGTTGCAGTCCCTCCAACTCCTCTACAACTCCAGGTCCTCAGTGTGCCTCAGTTTCCCCCATCTCCGGCTCCATGGCACCCCCTCCCGTGCCTCAGTCTCCCCCCAGCTCCGGCTCCATTCCCCCCCCCCCCGTGCCTCAGTTTCCGCCGGGCCGGTCACTCACGGAGCGGATCTCCAGAGCCAGGGCGCACTGCAGTGCCTTCATCTTCGGCATGGGGGTGGCCCCGGCCGCAGGCCCGAGCAGGGGAATGTGGAGCTGGGGGCGGCGGCAGCGAAGGCGGCGGCGGCGGCGGCGGAGGGCCCAGGCCCGGGCCCGCGGTCCTGCCTCGGTCCCGCCGGAGCAGCAGCTTGGCCGGGGCCGCGGTGGACACTGTTGCCATGGCAGCGCGGGAGGGCCCTGCGCGAGGGCCTGGCGGGGCGGAGCCTCGGAACGCTCCGCGGGGCATGTGACCCGCCCCTCCCCTCCCCAGGGGGCGGGGCTTCCTTCCACCTCCGGAGAAAGAGCAGGACCAGCCACGTAATCCCCGCCCTGGGCTGCAGAGCCTGGGGGCGTGGCCTAGCAGCATCACCATCCCCGGCAGGGAGGGGGCGGGGCCTTCCGAATGCGGGGGGGCAGAGCTTCCGCCGCGAGGGGGGGCGGGGAACGAACGTTCGGAAGGTGTCTGTGACCTCACGGAGTGCCTGGAAAGCCCCGCCTCTTCTCTAATAGCCCCACGAATCCTAATCAAGGTCCTTAGAGTACTAAAATGACCCAGTTAGGGACTCTAGCTCCATCAGTCCACGAACCAGGATTTATTAAGCGCCAACTGATGATAGAGACAAAAGTGAAACGGACCCAGGAAGTTTACCTTCTCCCCTTTACCTACTCGGGGATAGGGATGAGGTGAGGCCTGGACCTGTGATTTTGTGGACACAGGGCTCTCCCAGGGAAGGAATCTCTTGCTCATGATGCAGATTGACACCTTCTCTGAACCGCCTATCTTTAGACCAAGGGGCCCTCGCCTTTTTGGTGTCCTAGACCCCTTGGGCGGCCGAGGGAACCTTCCTCAAAAGAATGCTTTTAAATACATAAAGCATTATTGCAAAGGAAACCGATTATATTACAACACAGTCACCAAAGTATCTTTTAAAACAAGATCCTGGACCCCACGTTAACGATCCGTGACTTCGAGAGTTGCTTAAATGAGATTGAGCTGGATAAGAGCAAGAGTGTAGGGCCTAGGAAGCATGGGAAGAGATGAGGATTGGAAGATGCCTGACTCACAGGGACTAGGGGAATTGGAGAAACAAGCTCATTAGTCATAGGAATAGAGAAGATGGCTGGCTAGCTACCGACCGCCAGGGTCCTGTGATGCTCAGGGCAGGGCTTTGCATTGGGCGCTCATTTACAGGCCACCAGGGTGCTGGGGAGTTTGAGTCAATAAGACAAAAGTCAACGGGGACCAGCCTGAATTCATGTGTGGCTCTAGTTCTCTGGCTTCATGTCAATAGAAGAAGAACCCGGATGATTTAGTATCATGGAAGCCAGGGAAAGAGACGCTGTCCAGGACAAGGGGTTTGCCAACCATGTTGAAAGTAGGGGCAAAGCAGACCCGGAAGACATCTGTGCACTCAGGCCTGGATCAGGCCCACAGAGGTCCCTCAGCAGCCCAAGTCCACACAGGTGTCTGATTTCTACTCAAGTCACACTCTGACTACATGCCCTCTGCAGTCCTTTCCTGCCTGCAGATTCTGTGAATCCAAGATGCTGACTAGAGGGTGAATTTTCACACTTTATCTTCACAATTTGACTCCAACTTATACTCTACAATGATCTTATGTCATTTCCTCTCACACTCCTTATGTGCTTTTTCCTTATACATGGCATGTTTCCTATACCTGGTACATTATCCCTCCTCATTTCTACCTCTTAGAATCCCAAGCTCCTTTAAAGGCTTAACCCAACAACTGTCTCCTCCCAGAGGCCTTTCTTTCCTGGTCCCCCTCCAACCCATTTATCAAGTCTCTTCTCTACCTACTGAAATGACTTTTTATTTACCTTTTGTGTATTTTATATACACTTATCTGTGTACATGTGCTGTTTCTCCCTCCCCTGGTAGAATGCAAACTCTTTGTGGGCAGAGATGGTACCATTTTGTCTGTCTAGCCCCACTAAGTGCACATAGTATGTAATGCAGAACATTATTTTACCATTTAGGTAGTAGGGCCCTTTAGGCAATGGAAAGCAGAAGTTGCTGCTTAATCTTGCCCCAGACCTCTTTCCTCCTAAATCTAAACAATAGTAAAATGTACTCCTGCATGGCTTAAGCACAGCCCATACCTCCAAAGCAAATGAATAAGAAAACTTGCAATACAATGGCTTTAGATAATTATGTTTATACCAGAAACCAGGACACCTGGAGTGGTTTGTGTGATCCCTGACCTGTAATGATAGGTGCTTGGGTGCTTGTGCTTAATACTTTTGCCCCAAAATGCCTCCCTAGTCTCAGAAACACTATCTCTAACAACCACTCCCCAGCCTAAGAACGCTGTGCCTAGCAGTATTCATGCATGGGCCTCAGCAAGATCCTTATCTGGCTGCTCAGGTCCTAGCCCTCAGATCATATCTCTGGAAAACTCCAAATTCCTTAGCAAGACCCTTATCTGGCTGCTCAGGAAAGTTTGCAGAGCATTATCATATCTACACAGAGGGAGAAGGGTGTCCTTGACCAGCCAGACTTCAAAGATCCATCCCCCTCCCTGTCCTGTATACTCCCTATATAAACCCTAGCTCAACCCCTGATGGGGGCTGCTTGATTTGGATGTGAATATCCCTGGCAGCCGCTAGCTAATAAAGTCCACAATTTAAAATTAGCTTGGGTGGTCAACTCACTCATTTCTCGGTATAACAGTAGGCACTTAGTAAATGCTTGTAGCATTGGATTGTATAATAGTAACAACTCACATTTATCTCAGGCTTAAAAGGTCCTTAGCCTGCATGACATTAGAATTTCACTACACAAACCCCCCACCAAACCAAGGCTTTGGGAATGGACCCCTAATGTTATTTAAATGTAGTCTATTAATTGAATTCTCTCCTTTTTAATCGAAGAGTTTATCTGAGAAAAACCCCATCAAATACACATTTTATAAATCCTCTAATTAGGTCTAATACCCAAGCCTATTGATTCTCAAATCTAAACCACCAAGGACTTCCATGGGCCCCAATCCCTGACTCAGGTACAAAAATAATTCGAGACAAATCACAATCCAGAGTCTTGACCTGATTCCTAGAGTCAGGACCTCAGGAGGCCCAGAATCATAGGATCCCAAAACTTTCAGGAAGCTCAGGATCCATCTCTCCCCCAAGGTCACTGATCCCCTAAGCTGACAATGCCCTTTCTCCCTCCCAAACTACCTTATATTAAACTGCTTTGTTTTTATTCTCTTTATATTTATTCTACATATAGTTATATATGTCCTCATTGTCTCCTTCATCAGAATATAAACTCATTTCAAGCTGAGGCTGTGTTTTTCTGTTGTTCTCATGCCCAGCACTTAGTACTGTGGCTGTCAAATAATAACTGCTTGATAAATTCTTGATGGGGGTAGAGGGGAGGGAAAGAAAGATCCAAGATGGCAGGGACTCACCTGAGGTCTCTCTCAAATTCCCCTCCAAACAACTTTAAAATAATGCCTCAAAAGGAATTCCAGAGTGGCAGAACCAATAAAAACACAAGGTGAAACAATCCAGGCCAAACCAGCTTAGGAGTAAAAGTCGGTCTCACTGGAGTGAGCGCAGAGTCCAGAACAGGCCATGCCCACACAAGTCAGCAGCAAGCCTTGGGAGAGACCAAATTGTCAGTGGCAGCTTCCAGAGCTCTCAGCCCACAGACCATAAGGGATTCAGACAACCAGTCAGAAGGAGATTACAGGGGATCCTTTGCAGGCACTTGGGTGCAAGACTCTACTGCATTGCCCATACAAGGTTCTAGGTCTCAGTCCCAGGTGAGATGGAGCACTAGAAGGTGCAGGGACCCTGATCAAAATTCAAAACTATGATCATCTTAGGCTTTTTAAAGAAAGGCATAACTTCCAGGAATAAAGAGGCAATAGTTCCATTGTCTTTTGCCATATTGCATCACCCAGCACATAGCAGATGCTTAATAAATCCTTGTTGACTTGATAAGAATGAGAGCTATCCCCAAGTAGAATGGGCTCTCTGAGGGGGTGAGCACTTGCCCCTCCCTGGAAATCTTCCAACAAAGATTGGTTGCCTGGTTGTCTAGTGTAAGATAAAAATAATTTTCCTTCAAGCACAGGTTTACCAAGGAAATTTACAGGATTACAGAGTTTGGGTAGAGTCTGAGTTCTTAGGGGAGCTGCACGGATTGGAAGATTTAGGCCAAGGGAAGAGTGCAGTGATGCAGAAATCAGAAACCTTGTGTTCTTCATTCATTTCTGCAATTTACTAGCTAGTGACTTAGGCAAAGCCATTCTTCCCAATTTAGCCTCTGTTTTCTCACCTGTAGAATGTCAGTACTCACCCTAATCCTGACTCCCAAGGATGCTGAGGTAATCCAAAGAAATAATGGACGTGAAAGACTGGAAAAGTGCTGAGCTCATGTCCACATTCTGATTCTAATGTAAACATTTGTTGAATTGAAATTGATTCTAAGATAATTTCTTGAGGGCAAAGACTGGAGTCTTACTTCTGCATTTGCACCCCTAGGGCCTAATCTAGTGTCTGGCATATAGGAGGTGCCTAATAAACGCATGTTGTTTGATGGATGGATGAATTGTGTGACTCATACAGGTGTATGTGCAAGGCCTGGGGGCGCAGAGCACCTGGAAATTATGCGAGAGAGAAACAAAAGAAAGAAGAATAAGGAAACAAGGAATAAGAAGGGAAAAGCAGAGAAAAGTGAGAGGGAGACAGAGAGGAGAAAGAGAAAAGAAAAGCAGAAAGAATAGAAAGATGGGAGAGGTAAAAGGGAAAGGTGAAGGTGAGGGAGTAAAAAGAAGGGAATGGAAAGAAAAAAAGAAGGGAGAGGGAGGAAGGATGGTAGTGGGTAGAGACAGAGAAACAGAATAAATAGTCAAAGGACATGAACAAACAGTTCTCAAAAGAAGAAGTGAATAGCCACATGAAAAAATGCTCCTGGGGCAGCTAGGTGGAGCAGTGGATAGGGCACCGGCCCTGAAGTCAGGAGGACCTGAGTTCAAATCTGGCCTCAGACCAAACACTTGACACTTACTAGCTGTGTGACCCTGGGCAAGTCACTTAACCCCAATTGCCTAAAAATTAAAAAAAAAAAGAAAAAAAAATGCTCCAAATCACTAATAAGAGAAATGCAAATCACCACAACCCTGAGGTTTCATCACAATAACCCTGAGGTTTCATCTCACACC